GCCAGATGCTGTTAACTCGTGGCGTTGGTGTGTGTAGTTCGTGTATGATCGTGTTGGCTGCTTCTGATCGGTTTATAGTATATGTATATATGCATGTGTTGCTAGCTGCACGCGGGGTATCCCGTGATCCCTGATTTGTCCATGCGCACTTTGGTGTAGGGCACGGCTGGCCGTTTTGTTGCAAGCTGTTGGTGTATAGTGTTGGTGTATGTGTGTCTGCTGTATGTTACTCATGTGGTCGTCTTGGTGTCTGGCCTTGTTTTCTGATGTGCGTTGTTCATGTACGCCGCTTGTGCGTTTCGTGGCTACTTGTTGTAGAAACAGTGTTGCTCTGCATCTTCTGGTTGCGTGACATTGAAGAAACGGTATGCCTGACGCCTGTCCTGAATCCGTGCCTTTAGTGTACATTCGTGCCTTCAACTCGTGGTAAGTTGTATTGTTGCATGGTCGTGGTATAAGTTGATACAGTGTATGTGATTGGTGTGTGCGAAGCTTGATCCTTGTTCGAAATATACATTTTTGGCTTGGAAAACCAATGCGTCGGATCCCCGGTGACCCGATCTTGTGAGCCTCAGGACGCCCTTGACGGCCCAAGAGGCACAGCCCAAACAAATCGCTCCGACACGATTGAGGATATGCCCCGAGAGGGCCCACGGCGGCCTCGCCCCGGTCGCTCCCCGAAGGGACTCGCTTTCGAGAGGCCGAGAAGTTGATCTCCCGACGTCGGACATCGGCGAAGCCAGGCGGATGGTTCCGCCGAGGCCGGCTGAGGCAAGATATTTGGTGGCTCCTCCGCTGGTGGCCGGCGGAGGGGAAGGCGGAGCCCCCGATAGGGGCAACCATTGGGGGGCAACCGCTGGGGGGCACACAGGGTTCACGGAGTTTGCCATTAGAGCCACGCAGAAACAGAAATCAGATTCCGTCGGCGGCGAGGCAGAGTTGGCTGCACCAGCGATAGACCTCGACATGGGGTTCCGAAAAGCGAGTTGGCCAGCATGCAAGAGTGGGAAGAGGGGAGCCACGTAAAGACAAACAGTGGGGCTTGGCGCCGCATCGACGTCCCTGGCGCGGGTGTTCATGATGTGAGGCCGCAGTCAGCCAAAGTCAGGCCAATGTTGGAATGCATCTGGTGTCGCACTGTGGATGCAGCGGGGAATTTCAAACAAGAAACTGGCGTGCCAGCGGGTTCCCCACAGAAGTTTCGAATCCCCCGAGACGACCCTGGGGGCCTACAGAAGCCCTGTGGCAGCTCAGGGAGCTCAGAGCTCGACGACCGATATTCACTTAGATTTCTTAAAGCAAGATTCCTTATCGGATGCGGTGACTGTATCGCCTAGTATTGAACGGTCTGCGCAGTGACAGAAAGCAGCGTCTGCGTCGTCACGGGCGGAGCCAGCCGCTTTTCGCTGCGCCCTCGTGCAGAAATCCACGTTGCCTTCCCTGTCTACGTGTCCCCACGCACCTCTGCCGCATCTCGCAGGCCTACAGGTTGACACCAACACCAACATCGGCGGTGTGCCTCCACCGAGGGGCGAAGATCCCGATCTCGGTGACGGCGGTAATAGTTTGGCTTCCAAGGTGACCGACATATTACCACCAACACCGAAGCCTAGGACCATGCTTCCCCCCGGTGGAGGCAGCCCCTCTGTGGTGTTGTTGGTGCCTACTTTCAGGCCTCCAAGCATCGCCCCCCCCCCCCCCCCAACGATCGAGGAGTTCATCGCGGAGGACGTGAAGGGCATCGGTGCCCTCATAGCCGCCGCCATGGAGAAGGCAGGGAAGACCTGGGACGCGGTGACCAACGTGGAGGCGCGCCGTCGACGAGCCACCAGACGTCGCTCGACGGCCGAGCGCTGCGGTCTCCCAGCGTGCTGTCCCCCGGCGTCTTCCTCGGGGGGCCGCTTCTGGACCCGGCGCAGCGTCGATCAGACTCGAGCGCTTCGCTCACTCCGCCGGCTTGTTCCGGCTCTGCATCAGCTCGCGTGCTCGATGCGAACGCGAATGGGGGAGGAGGAGGAGGAGGAGGAGGAGGAGGAGGAGGAGGAGGAGGAGGAGGAGGAGGAGGAGGAGGAGGAGGAGGAGGAGGAGGAGGAGGAGGGGGGGGGAGGCCTCTCCATGGCTTCTTGAGGCACTCTTGGCAGAGTGGGTCGTGGCCAATGCGTTGTTTTTTGCAGAGGCGTCCAGGCGATCGTCAAGCATCTATACACACATATATATACATATGTATATATACATGCATACACAGATATATGTGACTATCTACCCGAGACAGTTCAATTCTCGCGGGGAGAGGTCGAGAGAGAGAGAGACCTTGAAAGCCTCCGCGATGTTGGAAGGTCGATCCGTCGGAGGTCTGGGAAGCGGGGCGGGGGCTCGACCGCGATTGCGCGGACGACGAGTACTGCGACCGCGACGACGACGATGACGCCGACGACGACGGCTGCGGCGGCGGCGACGACGACGATGACGATGTCGTCAACGACGGCGGCGGCGGCGACAACCGCGACCGCACTCGACATCCGAGCGAAACTCAGATGCCCGCTTTGATGAAGCGCACGGCATGCAGGAGATCTTAAGAAGATCGTGTCGCCTGGGCCAAAGCCACCCCATTCCATCTCCGCCACCTCTGTGTCGCCTTCGCCCTCCTCACCCTCTTTTACCTCCTCCTCGCTTGTCGCCCTTCTCTTTTTCTTCGTCCCTCAACCTCCTCCTCGCTTGTCGCACTCCTCCTGCCCGACCGCACCCAACGCCCAAATCTCGACATGCGCCGCGTTCTGACCAGGATCTCGGAGCGGACCCAGCCGTTGCGACGAGATCACCACGCCACTGGATCCGCCTCGACGCGGTCAAAAAACCTCCATCCTCGGTCATCGATCCTAGTCCCTGGACGACGACGACAACGAAGATCACGATGATGGCGACCAGGACGACGACAGTGACGACAACAACAGCGGCGGCGGTGACGACAGCAGCGACGGTGCGGCCTGCCCCGACAACCACCATAGCGAAGACGACGGCGGTGACGACGACGACATTGACGGTCGCGACGACGACGACAAAGACAAAGACAAAGACAAAGACAAAGACAAAGACAAAGACAAAGGCAAAGACAACAACACCGACAAAGACGACGACGGCGGCGGCTGCGGCGGTGGTTGCGGCCAGTGCCCGTCCACCCCCCCCCCCGACGGAGGTGATCGGCGGCGGCAGCCGTGTGGTTGCCGTGCAGGAGGCGCTGCGCGCGCAGGCACGTGCGTCGTCGTCGCCTCCGCCGTCGCCGTCGATCGAGGATCGGGGTTCGAGCATACTGTTGATCGAGGGGGGGCCGCCGTGCGCGACGAGAAGATCGAGGCTCGAGGTTCGAGTGGGCGTTTGCGGGGCAGGCGTGTGCCTCCGGGGGCGCCCCCGATGGTACGGCTGCGAGTCCCCTCGGGGGTCGGTCGTCACTGTCGCCGTTCCGTCCCCGTCGCCGCCGCCGCCAGCGCCGCCGCTGCCCCCGCCGTCGTCGTCGTGGTTGTCGTCGTCGTCATCGTCGTAGTCATCATCGTCGTCGTCTGTCGCCCGCGGGCTGTCGTCCGTCGTCTCAGACGCAGTCCTCGTTTCGCGTCGTCCGTCATCGTCGTCGTCGTCGTCGTCTTCGTCGTCGTTGTCGTTTCCCATCGTCGTCGTCGTCATCATCGTCGTCGTCGTTGTCGTTTCGCATCGTCGTTGTCGTTGTCGCCGCCGTTGCCGTCGTTCTCGTCGTCGTCGTCGTCTTCATCGTCGTCGTCGTCGCGTCTTCGTCGTCGTCGTCGTCGTCGCCGCCGCCGCCGCCGCCGCGGCCGCCGCCGCCGCCTTCGGCGTCGTCATCGTCACATCGTCGTCGTCGTCGTCGTCGTCCGTCGCCCGTTGTCGTCGTCGCCGCCGTCGCCGCCGCTACCGCCGCCGCCGCCTCCGCAGCCGCCGCCGCCGCCGCCGTCGCCACGCCCGCCTTCGCCGCCTTCGCCGCCGCCGTCGCAGCCGCCGCCGTCGTCGTCGTCGTCGTCGTTCTCGTCGTCGTCTTCTTCGTCGTCGTCGTCTTCGTCTTCGTCGTCATCGTCTCCTCCGTCGCCACTGCTTCGCCGTCGCCGCTCCCGCCTTCGCAACCGCCGCCGCCGCCGTCGTCGTCCTCGTCGTCATCATCGTCGTGGTCGTCGCCGTCGCCGTCGTCGTCGTCGACGTCGTGCTCGACGTCGTGGTCGTCGCACCCGGCTGCCGCGCAGGTGCCCGAGCACCTGGTGCTGGGCGCCGGTCTCGACAGCTCCTCGTGCGTGGCCGTGGGCTCCACCTACTTCAGTGCGGCGCGCCCGCGGAGCCAGGGGCAATTCTGCGGTCGGGAACTCAGGTGTTCGAGGTGTGCGGGGTACAGTGGGAGCGCGCATCAAGAAACCATCTCCTCTTCCTGCTCCTCCTCCTCCTCCTCCTCCTCCTCCTCCCTCGCCCCACCTCCCCCGCTCGTCAAAGCGAGAGGTCGGGGCGCGCATCAAGAAGCCATATGCTTTTCGTCAGGGTATCCTAGGTGTCTTCGCTCCTCGTGCTGCGCGGTGGCTTCCCGCAGCCGTTGAAGGAGCTGCTGCATTCGGGGTGCTCTGGGCTTCCCCTCGGGTGCACCTCGCGCACGGGTTCTCAGGGTTGTGTTTCTTGCGAGGGTTTCTTGCGGCCGCGCCCGCACTGTAGGTGGGAGGGATGTTTACTGCTGTCGTAGTGCAGTTGCTCCGTTAGGCACGCAGTAGCAGTTCACACTGGACGCCGTGGCATGTGTGTAATGTTACCTGCCCGTGGTTTTGGGCGCTCAGTTTGAAGGGGGCTCAGTGACCAGTAACCAGTCCACCATCCCAAGAGGTGGGCGAGCCAGAACAAACTAGCACAGTGCAGACTGACCGCGAGGCCAAACAAGAAGGTTTTCGGACGCTTTTGCTGGTATTCTCGGCGGTCTTCCAGCCTCGGGGTGATCTCCAGCAGCTGCGCGTCGCGGAGGACGTTGCGATGGTGTCTTGGATCTTCCCGAACGGCCGCTGGAGAGCCGAGGCATGACCCGACAACCAAGGGGCAGCATTAGGAGCCAGGGCAACGTTACGGTCAGGAACGTGGGTTTAGCATGTCGCACCGCGGTTTGCTAGGAGGAACGTGGGTTAGGAACGTGGGTTAGGAACGTTGGTTAGGAACGTGGCTCATACGGTAGGAACGTGGGTTCGGAACGTGGGTTTTGGCCCAGCATGCTTCGGCGGGCAACGGTCCGAGGCGCTCCCAAGCGCGTCAACGGCCACGGCATGCTCCCATTCCCAAGCGCCAGCGGCCCGAGGCGTTCCCGACCCCGCGCCCCGCGGAGCGGAGCGGCACGCTACCCGTTCGCAGGGCACAGCGTGTCGCTGGGGCCGCCGCCACGACACGCTGAGCAAAAGTTCCTGGCTGCAGGGGGGGAGGCGCTGAGGGGGACTTCTCGACCCCCAGTCGCCCATTCGTCGCCGATGGGCGCCCGATGGCCCACCCCACCCAGCAGCGGTCGGAGTTGCCATCGGGGTCATGTCGCCGATCGATCGGCGATGCCGCAGCCCAGGGAGGCAGGCAGTGCAGGAGTCCCGGCCCAGGCCTCCGATGATGAGTCTTGGTGGTCGGATCCAAGCGTTGCTTCTCGACTTCGGCCCTCGGGTCGGCAAGGATCCATCCAGGACGGGAAATTGGCCCCAGGGAAGGAGTCGGCAGGGCCGGGGCCGCTGCCTGGAACCAAAACGCATCGTCGGATGTCTGCTGGAGGCGCAAGAGGAGTAGAGACGAGAGACGGAGGAGGACGGGGGGAGGGTCACGGGGAGGGGTAGGAGGGGGAGAAAGAGCAGGAGGAGGAGGATGAAGTGCAATGAGTTGGCCAGGAAGTGAGGAGTGCGAGGACGCGGGAGGATGAGGGGGGGGCAGGCAGGAGGGGGGGAGAGAAAGATGAGTGCAAGAGGAGGAGAAGAAACAGGAGAGAGGAGGTTACCCCAGAACCTGACACCCACCTCCTTTCATTCCCCCTCCGAGAGGCCGACCTCGTCATCGTCGTCGTCCCCGTCGTTGTCGTCGTCGTCGTCGTGTCGTCGTCGTCGTTGTCGTCGTCGTCGTCGTCGTCGTCGTCGTGTCGTCGTCGTCGTCGTCGTCGTCGTGTCGTCGTCGTCGTCGTCGTCGCCCTTCTCCCCCATTCGCTCATAGATCTCCCAGGGCGTCATCTTGCTACTCCCTGCCCCCTCCCTTTTTTCCCCATCGATATACGAGCCCGTGGAGAAGCGCGGGCGTCGGGAGAGGGTACGGCCAATGTTTTCGGTCCCCACGATATCTGTCCAGTGGGGGGAGCCACCCGCGACTCCGCCACCGCGCTTCGGGGTGGGGCGCCTAGGGGGAGGCGTGCGAAGGGGGGCGGCCAAGGGGGGGGTGATGACAAGGGGGTGGACAGATATCACGGCCGGGGCCATAATACCTCCCCGGATATCGTGGACCCCTCTGTTATGCCGAAGCCTTCCTGTGCGAGCGTTGTAAAAGCCGAAATCCTCCGAGAGCATCAAGCCTAAGGATTCCCCCCACCGCAGAAGTACACACAACACACAACAGACAACACACAATATACAGCACACAACACTTACCACACACACACAGACACATACATACACACACACGCACACGCACACCTACTTCTTTCTCCGGCGCGCCGATGTGATGCAGCCGGCGGCCCACAAAGTATGAAGGCAGGGGATGCGCAGCATGAAGTAATGTTTTTGTATGGGAGCGCGCTCACACACGCACACGCACACACAAACACACAAACACACAAACACACACTCACACAGCACACAAACACATGCACAAACACACACACACACACACACACACACACACGCGTACGCACCTACACGCACACACGCAGACACACATACGGCGGATATTCGTTTTCCAGACTGGATCGTTCCTTGATGGTCAAGGGTCCAAAGCGAGGCAGAACAAGACGTCGTCATTTCTTACGACGCCCGGGTGTTGGCGTCCTTCCCTTCCTCCTCTGCCTTCTCATCCCGCTTCCGTCGTCCATACCCCTCGCTCTCGTCCGTCTCCTCCTCCTCTTCCTCCCCCTTCTCCACCCCCTTCTACTTCTCCTTCTCTCTCTCTCTCTTCTTCACCATCCTCCTCTTCCTCCTCTTCCTCCTCTTTTTCGTATCTCTGCACCCTCTCCTCCTCTTCCTTTCCCCCTGCTCCTCATGCCTCCCCTCCTCTCCATTCCCGCCCGCGACGCTCTGCTGTCCCCTCCGCCAGCGCAAAGGGTCCGGGCTGCCTCCGTGCTTCCGCCGCCGTCGTCGGAGTTGGCGGCGGCGGCGCCGTCGTCTTCCCGTGAGATCCGATGATGTAATTTAGAAGGCAACATCGCGAAAAGTCACGACAGGAGTCTCAGACCCAATCGATCCGACCTAGATCGATCCGTTATGGTCCCGGGGCCCGAGACCGCGCGGAAACGCCCAGTGCGAAACAGTTGCAACGTCTGGGGCGCAGGGGCGTGCGGTCACGAACTGTGGCTTGACGTGTCGCGCCGTCAGTTCTGGCCAAGGCTTCGTCGCGGCACGCTCTCCACCCTCCCATTCCCATGCGTCAAATTCCCGAGCCCGAGCCTTGCCCAGCCTCCCGCCGCTCCCGCCCCGCGGAGGGACGCGGCGCGCTGTCCGCTCGCAGGGCATCGCGCGTCGCCGGCTGGGGCACGCTAGGCAGAGGTTCCGGACCGCAGGGGAGGGTCGGCTCACGGAGGGAGGGGGGGCGCATCGACCCCGACAGTCGAGACCGATTAGTAGGTCGACCCTGCCAAATCTAGGGTGCCCTTGTGTCCTGAGCTTCGTGACCCATGTCTTCTTGCACTCCTATGGCTGTGTGCCCCTCGGAAGGGTCTTGTGTCCTCTCGCTGGTCTTCTCCAACTAACCCCGACTGTGGTCGCCCATTCGTCGCCGATGGAGGCCCGATGGCCCACCCCGCCCTGAAAGGTGCGGATGTGGTATCGGATCGGGGGCCTGTCGCCGACCGACTGGCTCAGTCGCTAGAGGCCATTCATCGCCGGTCGATCGGCTCGTGCTCGTCGTCGTGCTCGTCGTCGTCGTCGTCGTCGTGCTCGTCATCGTCGTGCTCGTCGTCGTCCTGCTCGTCGTCGTCGTGCTCGTCGTCGTCGTCGTCGTCGTCGTCGTCGTCGTCGTCGTCATCGTCGTCGCCCCCCAGGCCTCGGTGGGCCGTCCCGCCAGCGTGCGGGCCACGGCCCCCGTGGAGGGGCAGCCGAAGGATCTGGGCGTCGGGGAGACCGACACGTGGCTGAAGCAGGCCGGCCCCTCTCCTCGGGCGGGGGGGGGGGGGAGGAGGGTCTCTCCGAAGGGCTTAGGCGACCTGTCCTCCCCCTCCTCCTCCCCCTCCTCCCTCCTCCCTCCTCCTCTCCCTCCTCCTCCTCCTCCTCCTCCTCCTCCTCCTCCTTCTCCTCCTCCTCCATCTCCTCCTCCCCCTCCCCCTCCTCCATCGTTTTTTCATTCATCGTTTTGCCGATCGGTGTGGGCTCTCGCCCCCCCGCCCCCTCTCCCCCCCCCTGGAGTAGATCTTGGCCGTTTTTTGCGCCTGTTTCAAGCAGGTGCAGCCTCGCCCCCAGAGGCAGCACTCCTGCAAACAGTCGCACTAAGCAGAGGCCCAGAGCCAGACCCCCCCCCCTCCCACCCCCCTTTCCGCCCAATGTCGAAACGCCAAACAAAAAAACGCTCACCTCCTCGGGCGGGCGGGGGAGGAGGACCCTCAGATCCTGGCGCCCCATGTTTTCACAACGGGCGGCTTCGCAAGGTTTCGGGCCCTGTGACCCTCACACATGGATCCGGCTCGGAAGATAATGCAGAACGATCGTGTCCCGGGCTCTGGTCGTGGTGCTTCGCGATGTTGCAGTGTTCTCAAAACGTCAGACCTGAGGGGAGGGAGTTTTCTTCAGTTCTCTGCACGAGCGAAATGGGTACGGAAAGAATGAGTACAATGCCCAACAGCAGTTCCTATTCATTTTGAACAGGACTCGCTGTCCACGCCGCCGCGGCCTGTGTCCATTTGAGACAGAAGGCCGCCTGCACAACAGTGGTCGCTGTTGGTTTGGGACAAAATGTGTTGTTGGGCATTGTAACAATTCTTTCCGTGCCCATTTCGGGCTTCCAAAAGTTCGCGGGCGCGCGCGGGGGAGCGCTGCTACCCCTCGTGGACGCTCGTCGCGCCAACCCGCAAAGACACAGGGACGCAATCCACCCGCCCAGGGCGGCTGGCAGCATCGCGGGGCCGCGCGGCGGATCTGCGCAGGCCGGCGCTCGACTGGACCCCCCCGGGGGCGTTGCGGGCAAGCGGGGGCAGCTGCACGGACGGTTCGGCGGCGAGCCCGGTGGGAAGTTCCTGCAGAGCTGGTCGTTGCAACTTCTTCACACGGGGTGTTCTCGCCCGATTTCGGGCCCCGGGGCCCTCACAGATCGATCTGGCTCGGAAAATGACGCAGAAGGATGGGGTCTTTGACTCGGGTCGTGATTTTTTGCGATGTTGTATTTTATTGCAACGTCGGATCTCGGAGTCAGAGGTGGCGGGCCTTCTCGGAAAGCTCGGAGGGCTTCCGGCCTTCTGAGGAGTTTTCTGAGCTTTCCCCGAAGACAGACGGCGTCTCAGAAAGCCCGAGGGCTTCTGAGAAGCCCCGCCGACTTCTGAGAAGGCATCCGATCCTCCTGGGTGCGCGGGGAGGAGGAGGTGGTCCTGGTGGGCGAGCGCATGGACGATCTCGTCTTGGAGCCGGCTTGGGGGGCTGAGGTGGCCCAGTATGGTTTCTGGCGTGCAGGGAGAGGTGGGGCCGAGGTTCTGGGCCCGAGAGGGTTTTCTGCCTTGTTAGGCCTCCAGGGCCTTCGTTCTCGGGCCTGGGACCGTCCAACGGATCCGGCGTGAACAGTTGCACCAAATGGGCCCTTGGAGGGGCCCCGGGACCGATTTTTGTCGGAGTTGCTCCCCGCCCCTCCTCTCCTGACCGAATTCCTTTGGGCCGACCCGGTTCAGACCCCCTCGCCGCCTCCAGGGCCCGTTGGTTGCGGAGCGGGCGCGGCCGAGCCCTGTGAGCCCGACGGGGCCTGCCGACCTCGAGGAGCTGCTCGGGGAGAGCAGCTGCCGGGGCAGCGCACGGCCGAACAGGCCCACGGCTGCGTTGTCCGGGTGGGGCCTGGGTCGGGATTTCGACAGGTTGGCGACGCGCAAGGCTCGCTCGGCCTCTGCTGTCGCCCTACTCGCGTTGATACGGGCGAGCTGATCCGCCGGTTGGGGGACGAGGAGGAGGAGGAGGAGGAGGAGGAGGAGGAGGAGGGTCGCAGGCGACTGATCATCCCCCCAATCCATTATTCACCCCCAAAACGTCGGCCGCTCAGAAAATCAGAGCAGGACGAATTGAGACAACGGTGTTTGGCCTTCGGAGGGGGTCCCTCGTCGCCACGGCTGAACGCAGCTCGGGGAGCTGGTGCGTTTGGACCCCCCCCCCGGGAGAGGTCCATGGACTGAGTTTTCGAGTAGGGGGTAGACTACAGAATCGATTTACCCCAGAAGTGTTTTGTTCGCCGAATCTACGGACAATATGGAGACTTTTCGTCTATCTGCGAACATCTTAAATGCTGTACGCCGATTCGGCGGGAATTTAAAAACGGGGCTGCCGTGGTTTCGGCTCGGCCCTGCTCCGAGGAGGGCCGCGGGCGAGGGGGCCAAGAGTTCGCCGCCCGGAGAGGCGTGGCGGCCCAGGCGCGAGCCGCTCCAGAGAGGAGGCCCCGCCTTCGAGGATCGAGAGAGCTGCCACCTCTCTCCCGGCGGAGGGCGGCGGAGGTAAAGCGCGAGGGCGGCTCCGCCGGCGGAAAGCTCGGCGGAGGGCGGCGGAGGGAGAAGACGCCTCCCCAAGAGATGCCCGCTCTCGTGGGCTCAGCGGCCGGGGTCGGCCACACGCTCGCGTCCTGGAACAGAACAGGCGCCGGGCGGTGTTAATTGGGCCGTTGTCGGCCTGCCGTCAGAACACGGCTCGGGATGAGAAGGCGGCCTCGGGGAAAGGGGCGAGGCCTCCGGGCCTCCAGGGGCCCTGGTTTGAAATATCAGGAGGGAAAAAACACACAGACACAATTAATCGTCGATTCCCAGGAAAATGTGGGAAAATATTGGAATTGGGGGGAAGACAAAAACCAAGAAAATATAAGAAAATATGGGGAATCTTTTTATTTGTGTGTATTTATTTGTGTGTCCCAGGGCCCCTTCAAAATAGTCAGGACATGGGATCTCCGGGGAGGGCTGCAAGCGATGCAGCCGCGGGGGGTCTTCGATGCTCCACGTGCGCCACCCCCCTCCCCCCGTCCGAAGCTCTGGCTCGGCAACTGGACGCGGGGGTCGGCGGCCGAATTGTTCGAGTCCGGGTCTCTGCTGATGGGGGAGCCCTGGACAGCGACCCGTGGGCACAGGGTCCAGGTTCGCGCCTTGTTGGCATGCGCACCCTAGCTGCCTCGGTACGCCCGTTCTGATACGCAACACGCACCGTGTTCGAAACGTCCGTGTCGATGCGTTGCGTGTTGGCTCAACGTATTTGGCCCAAGCTTTGGCGAACGCATCGCATCAGACCTACGTGTTCAGGCTACGTGTTGAGCTCCTTGTCAACACGCTACGCGTTACGTGTTGCGTGTTGCGTATCGGGGCGGCTTAGGTGCGCTCTTTTGCATTCGTAGGCAATTGCATGGTCTTGGCCTGGCGTGGGCAATGGCACGATCTTAGCCTTGGCGTGTTAATGGGAAGTGTTGTGCATGCGCGTTCTGTCTTTGTCATTCGCAGGCGCACGGTGGTGTTCGCGCGCACGCTGTGGTGCTCGCAGGCTATCGTTGAGCTCGCAGGCGTAACATGGCGATGGCTGGCTATTCGTACCGGCAGGGTATGGTATATTGTACGTGTTATGCCTGTGTTCGCAGGTGCAGCATGGTGCTCACGAGCGCACTTGTGCTCGCAGGCAATTGCGTTGTTCGCAGACATCGTGGTGGCAACAAGCCTTCCCGGTCTTGAAACAGTGAGGCAAACATTTGCCATTGTCCCTTCCCGTCTTCCACCTCCCCCGCCTTCACCTTTTCGTCTTCCGTTCCCCCCTCAGCCCGAGTCCGGGGCCGTCGCAAGTTCTAGTCATACTTGCATCACCCCGTGCACGACGCTAAGCCGCTCAGTGGCCATGTCGGCCGCACCCGCGTTTCATCTTTTACTGTCAAAAAGCTGTTGCGCATACGTGCGCCAATGCTGTTCGCAGGCGAATTGTGATGGTGCTTACAGGCTATTGTGGTGATCAGAAGCGCCGTGTTGGTCCAGTGTTGTCGCGGTGCTGACACGATCTGTCATGCTGTTGTGCATTCGTGTGTTCCTCTTCCTTCTCGAAGCTCGTCGCCGCGCGTTGGCAGGCTATTCTGATACAGTCCAGCAGATAGTTGTGCATATCGTGATGCTCCCAGGCGAATTTGCTGCCGGCCGGCAGAGATCACCACCCCTCGCCTTCTGCTGGCTACAAGCATAGTGTGCTGCTCTCAGGCACGCTGCGGTGCTCACATGCCGCGGTGGTGCCCATAGTAGGCGTGCAACGTTGCACACGGCCCAGGGGTTTCGCCCGCCGCTGGCTCGTCACGCACACGGGGCTGCGACAGCAGGAGTAGGGCGCCACTGGCGGCGAGCAGCAGTCAGGCGGGGGGGGAGGAGGCCGGGCAGGGAGCCTGGGGGCGGGGGGGGGGTGTTGGAGGAGGAGCTGCTGGGGGGGGGCTTTGCCTCGCGCCGCCCCCCTCCTGCTCCACCTTCCTCCTTCGCCTGTCGAGGGAGCGCGAGCATGGATCAAGGCGCGCGGAGTAGCGACGGGTCCCGCCCACGCGCCAGCTCCCCTGGTCCCTCATCCATGTCAGCGCGTGCCCTCCGCATTCCTCCCTCACCTGCTCCTACTAGCTCATTGTCCCCCCCCCCTCTCTCCTCCCCCGCCTGCTCTCGGTAGGTTCGGCTCCCGCCTCGGATCCTGACCCCGAACGTCCCGTGGAGGCCTCTCGAAGCCCCCCCCCGAGGCAACAAGCATCGCTCAACAGCCTTTCGAACACGTTCCCACCCTGATCATCGAGGGCCGAGGGCAAGCCTTGGCAAGTGCTTCTTCTCCCTTCCCTGGCTGGCCCTCATAGCTGGTGCGAGCTCGGCTCATGCGTCCAAGATGGGACCTTCCATGAGGGATGGGACGGGCAACTTCATGAGAGGAGGTCGACGGTGTCCCAGCTCAATCTCCTTGTGTGGTTAACAGGAGGGGAAACAACACACAGACACATGAATCGTCGACCCCAAGGAAAACATGGGAAACGATGGGAAGTGGGGGGAAGCAACTCCCCAAAAATACGGGCAGATATGGGGATTTCTGGGGATGTGCGTGTGTGTGTGTGTGTGTGTGTGTGTGTGTGTGTGTGTGTGTGTGTGTGTGTGTGTGTGTGTGTATGTGTGTGTGTGTGTGTTTATCTGTGTGTCCCTGGGCGCCTTCAGGTTTCCCATGCTCGGGGCGCGCTGGCCTGAAAACATCAAAAGGCCCTGGCTCTGCTGCCAGCCCGCCCCAGGTGCACGGCCAGGAGGTGAAGAGGCTGCAGTGCGAGAACGAGTTCGAGGCGTCCTCGGGGCGTGGGGGGGGGACGGCTCAAGAGGAGGAACTCACGAGAGGAGAAGAGGGGCTCACGAGGAAAAAGAGGAGGAGAAGGAGGAGGAGGAGGAGGAACAAACATAATGATAGTGATATCACGAGTAATACTAGCACCACGAATAATACTGATCATACTCATGCTTATCGTAACAATCATCGTACTACTAATCATCAACACTTATCGTAAGACGTAGGGATACGAAACATAGCACTACGTAATAAAAAGAGAGGACGAGGAGGAGTATGAGGAACACTGCGAATAGCATTGGTAGTAATAGCACTCGGAAGAATACGGGTACTCGTATTCATGCTCGTAAGACGTAGGAAGATGAAACTTACAAATAATAATGAAGAAGAAGACTAAGAAGAAGAAAACGAGGACGAGGAGGAGGAGGAGGAGGAGGAGGACCATCGCTCTGCCAACGGTTAGTCTGCAGCACCATGCACTACGAGCGCACTCCCAGGCTAGTACACCCCACCGCAAGGGGCGGCGGCCACTTCGGCAGCAGGCCATGCCATGCAGTGTGTGCACGGTCAGACAGGGCTGCCAAAGCCGCCGTGGCGTCTCTCACCCACGTATGCCGGGTTTTCCGAAGCATTGCTGCAGTGCTTGCCACACCTACCAGTGAACTGAGCTCTCTCATACGCCTCCTTGGTGGGGGCTTTAGTCACAAGCTGCGAGCTGGGGCCTCGGACCCAGACCCCCGACGTCATGCAATTTTCCATGACGTGGACCCCCCGCGGTTTGGACCCTTCCCCAGGGACCAGTTTTGCCTCCCTTGTCGACGTTTGACAGTCCCGAGTGCCGGTAAGGGCCCAGAGAGGCCGAAAATAGCGAGAGACTCCCCGTCGTGATTTTTTCATGATTCGAGGGGTCTGGGGAGGTAGCAGCGCGACGAGCCTCCTTTCCACTGCTCCTGAGAGGACTCCCCCAACCTCCACTTCCATCCAGGTTTCACCTCCACTAGCAGTCTTGCCCCCCCACCGCCCGCCCGGCTGACCTTCTTCCACCCTCTACTTGTTCGAGTAGGGGATCGACTACATAATTGATTTGCCCCAGAATTGGTTTTCTCGTCGAGCTCCTCCCAGAAATACGTAGAAGGTTCGCAGATCGACGGACCTTTCTACGTATTTCTTCATAGATGCGGCGAACAAATCGATTTGGGGGCAAGTGAAGTTTGTAGTCGATCCCCTACTCGACTTGTGGCGGGGGGGCGCGGTCGGGTTGCGCACCAGGGAAGGCGGAAGAGGGGAACGCCCGCCGGCCTTCTTGGCAAGGGCTAGGGCGGCCGCAGCATCAGCGTTGCTACAGCATTGCGTCACATGCTGCCCGTTGACACGGTCAGGTGGGCTGGCATGCGCGCTTTGTCCCCCTCTTGCTCGCAACGCGCATTATCATTCCTGTATCGTACGCGCTGCCTCTTAGTTTACCCGGCGATTCTCTTCCCCCCGTGCTACTGTCAGTCGACCAGCTTCAGCCTGTCCCGCGAGCGCGGAGCAGTGCGCGCGCAGCTTGTGTCACATCGTTTTAGTCTCCTAGTCACTCCTCCCCACCTCGATCATCCAGCATGCAGCCTATAGGGAGCGCACCGACGACTTTCGGGCAGTACCGGTTGAGGAAGGTACCGCCTGTGCAGAAGCAACATTGCTGAGCTGACTGCCGAAGCAGTCCCCCTGCGGGGCCACCGCCACCCGAGGGCCAACACCTGTTTTTATGTGGTGTGGGCCCCAGGGTGACCACCAGTCGTGTCCATGACACCCCTCGCCCACCTCGGTGGGTGAAGGTTCCCTGGCCACGAGTGGGGGCCGCCCCAGCGGGATCTGCTATGGACGAGAGGAGGTGCCGTTGTGCCACCCCTTTCTTCGGCGGGCGTGGCTTCAGCCGCGCCTGCCAACTGCAGAGCGCCGTGCCGCTGGATGAGTTTGCGTGAGAGTTCCTCTACACCTTAGATCCCATCTCAACCTGCAGTCCGCGCGCACTCCAGCCGCTAACATGTCGCCACTAACCAGCGTTACAGCTCTATCATATGGATGGGGGAACGGGGGACCAAATGTGCTACACCGCCTACGGTGGCCCCCGCCAGGGAAGGCACAAACCTCTCCCACGCCCATTGGAGTCCTCGGAGACGGCCACCAGTTTTTCGTTCTGGCACCCACGCCTGCGTGCAGGCGACGGTTCCCGTCGAAGGGCTGGTGGACGCCTAAGGGGACTCCAAATGGCAGGAGGAGAAGCCTTTGCGCCTTCCACATGGGCCAGTGTGGCCACTCGCCTCATTGCCCCGCGGACCCATTCCACTTTTTGCGTCGGCGGTTCGGCAGAGGGCGACTGCGCTGGCGATGAGGGGCTGAGGGGCTTCAACGCGGATGCCGCTGGATCGAGTTGTGCCACCATGCAGGAGGAGGACGAGGAGAGGACGCGGCCGAAAATAATTGGGCCCGTTACACACGGCGTCAAGCCCGCCCCCTTCTTCCCCTCCTCTTCGAGGTTGCGAATTCCTGCCCCCCTTCCCCTCGGTCTCCGACCGTCTCCTCCTCCTTCTCCTCCTCCTCCTCCTCCTCCTCCTCCTCCTCCTCCCCCTCCTCCTCCCCTCCTCCCCCTCCTCCTCCTCCTCCTCCTCCTCCTCCTCCTCCTCCTCCTCCTCCTTCTCTCCTCCTCCTCCTCCTCCTCCTCCTCCTCCTCCTCCATCTCCTCCTCCTCCTCTCCTCCTCCTCCTCCTCCTCCTCCTCCTCCTCCTCCTCCTCCTCCTCCTCCTCCTCCGTCCGCCACCCCTTGTTTCACCTGCACCTTTCATACCAGCCGGTGGCCCATCTGGGGCGACCGCCCCTGTTGGCCGCCTGGCGCACTCGTTCGAACCAGCCCCCAGCAGGGGCTACCGCCCTCCCCAGGGAGGGAGCGATGGCCGCGTCTGGAGACACCTTGGCAGACAGAGAGAGAGAGAGGGAGGGAGAGAGACAGAGAGAGAGAGAAGGAGAGAACGTGAGAGAACCTGCTTATTTGGAGTTGGATCAAACCACATAAGAGGAAAAGGAGGAGGATGAGGAAGATGATGATGATGAGGAGGAGGAGGAGGAGGTCACCACTCGGCCGAGAGCGGAGTCTGCCGCGAACGACCGACCCCACGCGGCCCATGGGCGCCGCGGACACGCGGCTGATGCGCCGCCGAGGCGGACGCACGGCCCACGGCCTCAGATGGCCGTCGGCGAGAGGCCGCCGAAGCCGCTGTCCAGGAACTGAGGCTTGACCCCTCGCCTCGCGGGGGAAAGGAGACGCCGAACACGACGTCCACGAAGTGTTGCCTGACCCCTCGCCACGCAGGGTCGCCGAAATCCCACTGTGTACGGCCTACCCTTCGCCTCCGCCCCCATCTCGAGGAGTACTCTCCACTCGGTCTCGGGGGGCGCCACCAGCAACGCTGAGCAACCACTTGACCGTCTCATCGAAAGTTCTCTCGACCTTCGGAAGAGGCGCCCTGAGGAGCGGGCCATCGCCCCTGGTAGTACTGCACTCACTACCACGGAGGTCCACGTCGGGCATCCGTGGCGACGCTGAGCCTGGTAGCCGAAATGGCACACCAGGACTTTGCGAACTGTCGCCCGTGGCGACAGAGCCTGGCAGCCGCAGTGGCACACCATGACTTTTTGCGAATTAGCACCAGGTGAACCCGACACTGAACCCCGTGGCTGAGGCGCCCCGAGAAGCGGGCCACTGCCTTTGGTTCATATGGCAGCATCTCGAGAACCAGCAGGTGCCAAGCCCATAGCTTGCTGGTCCACACCGCGCTGAGGCGCCCCGAGAAGCGGGCCACTGATTCTGGTACTTACCCACGGTAGTCCCACGAGGCCCAACGGGAGCCCTAGCCTTCATTGCTTGTCCTTGACGCTCTGAGGCGCCCCGAGAAGAGGGCCGCTGCCTCCGGTACACATGGAGGCAGCTCGGGATCCAGCGGGTGCCGCTTGCCACGCTTGCTGGTCCTCTCCGCTCTGAGGCGCCCCGAGAAGCGGGCCACTGCCTCTGGTGTAAAAGCAGTGTCGGCTCGAGGACCCGCAGCTGCCACTGCCCTCGCTTGCCAGTCCTCTCCGCTCTGCTGGGGATCATGCTCGGGCCGCTCGTAATCAGCACCAGCTGGCGGGCCGCCCGCTGGTGACGAGCTCGACGCGCAGGAGGTGTCCGTCCCTCCCCCGCCCCCCTCGCGGCCAGCCCAACCTTGGGCGACCCGCGGGGAGCCTTCGGGCACCTCCCCCTCGCCATCATGAAGCTTCTCTCAACGCGCAGGTTGTGACCCCTCCCCAGGGTCACCATGTGATGTCTGGCCATGCTTCAAACCTCTCGGTGGTGACGTAAGACAAGCCGTTGCCACTGTACGCTGGGCATGCTTCTGGTCCAGAGCCCGTTTGATGGCGTACCTCTGGCTAACGCGCTTTCTGGGGGCCTCGGACGGTCCAGGACTCACCGCGCTCAAGCCCAAGACCTTGCCGCCGCTCACACAAAACCTAGCATACCTCTTCCACATAGTACTTGGCCCGAACACGCACGGCACATGACCGAGATCTCGGATGTGCCTGAGGTCTCCTGGCTCGGATGGCCTCGACGCCAGCTCCTCCTCCTCCTTGGGCAGCTCGTTCACAGGTGCGAATTGAGGGTGATCGTGGAAGAAACAGTCCGCAGTCCAGCTCTTCACCTCGGTCGGCCCACAGTGCTTGAACCTTTCCTTGGTACGCACCCTCCGCAGTGCATGATCTGTCCGCGCCGTGGCATTGCACTTCCTGCACCGCCAGCCACTCGCCGCGCTAGGGGCAGAACCGTGCCGGAAGTCGTGGGGCCTGATGTTCGCAGCTGGCACCTTCGGTATCGCCATTTTGGTGGCCTCACTCCTCTCGAGCTTCTGCGTCCGGCATGTCTTTGCGCCGGCCAAGCATCTCTAATGCTGTCACGGACGAAACTCTCGGACAGGGCTACATCGCATCGCCCCCAGTCCCGCGAAGAAATCAGCCCATTGGTTGCCGATCCAGTCGATGAGGTCGCATCCCTTCTCCGCCACCTGATCGTGCGACAATTGAGACCCTTGCCACCGAAAGGTGGGGGACCTCTCGCCCTTGGTCAGATTCAGCATCCTCCTCCAAATACCTGCATGCTCTGCCCGCGCCCCTGCGTTGACCGCCCAGTCGCGCTCAGATTCGTTGACGAGAGAGAGGTGATCCGTCACCGCCGTCGCAGGCACCGCCGCCATCTTCAGCGCTGGCCACGCAGCGAACCTCTCGGCATAGGGGGCCGACTGGTTGGGCCCAGGCACTCTCCCATATCTCGCCATGCACGGCCAGCCTTGACTGTCGAGCCCCACTACCGCCCATCCGCTCCTCCTGCACTCCGGGAAGTTGGAATGGGCCGCAGCGCCGTCGGTGTAGACGTGGCGGCCCCAATTCGTAGCCCTCTTCGGACAACCCTGCGAGGCCCGCGATGGCCGTGCAGGCCCCCTCGGTGCTGAGCCCTCTATCCCAGCTGCTGTGGCGGTGAAGTCCGCGTCGCCACCGCTCCTGTTTGAGCCGCGATCCCCTGCACTTGAGCTCCCTGTTGAAGATAACCTGGCCCCCGATGCTGCCCGATCCGCCGCCTGACCATCGTCTGAGCCTGGTCTACGAGGTCGTGGTTTTGGCGCCTTATCACCCAGTGTGCTCCCACCCCGTCTCCAACGACATGCGCATCAATGCCGGCGCGCCTGGGTGTTGGGACTGGCGCGCTCTCTGACCTAGCGAGCAGAACACGCTCGCGCCTGGTTCGGTGGACGATGTCCACCGCCTGGGGGAAAAGTTTCAGAAGGAAGCAGCGGGATTCCAACGGGGGGGCGGAGGGGAGGGGAGCAGGAGGAGCAGGAGGAGGAGGAGGAAGATGAGGAAACGTACGCGGAAGAGGTGGAGGAGGAAGAGGATCAGGACAGGGATGAGGAAAGAGGGAGACGAGGAGGAGTGGGGGGAGGGGGATGACGACTTCCTCGTCGTCGTCGTCGTCGCCCTCCTCATCGTCGCTGCTCTCGCCCCCTTCGCCCTCGTCATCGCCGTCGTCGCCATCGCGGTGTCACCGTCATCCTTGTTGTCGCAGTGGCGCCGTCGTCGCCGCCCGCCGCGAGGCGTACATATACAAGGTGAAGAGCTGGCTCAGCGGCCCGGACAAGGCGCCGCCTGGCCCCGCTCTCGCCCGGCCCTCCCCCCCCCCGTGGGGGCGCGGCCGCGGGGCCAGCGCGCTGCGCGCAGGGAGGAGGAGGAGGAGGAGGAGGAGGAGGAGGAGGAGGAGGAGGAGGAGGAGGAGGAGGAGGAGGAGGAGGAGGAGGAGGAGGAGGAGAGAGCGGGTAAGGATGAGAGGAAGGGGGAGGAGGAGGAGGAGGAGGAGGAGGAGGAGGAGGAGGAGGAGGAGGAGGAGGAGGGAGGAGGAGGAGGAGGAGGAGGAGGAGGGGCGGAGGAGGCGGAGGAGGAATAGGAGGATTGCAGTATAGTGCAAATGCCCTTGAGGGTAGGCATAACCCTGCGAAGGTGCTTGTAACGTTAGGATGACAACCTTCTGGTCCCAGAGCCTGTGCTGGGACTGTTGTTGGCACCCGGCTTGGTGGATGGTATGTGTGGTCAGCCTTCTTGCCCCGCGACAGCCACCTCTGTTCGCCACATTAGGTTTGGCGGGGGTTGCTTCACGATTCCTCTATCGCCTCCACCGTACAAGCGATCAGGCGTGAAGCGTGTCCCACCACGTGATCAGAGGATGGGCTGGCATGCCACAGAATAGCGCCAGACGCTGGCTCCCTTACCCTGTAGGGGGGCCTGGGACAGCTCACTGGAGGCCACACGGCAAGTTGGCTTGCTACCCTAGTGGGGCATGTGCGCCTGCCACACCGCAGGGAGGATCGCCATCCTGGCGGTGACGGGGGTCGCATCAGGTCAGCATGTAGACCAGCTCTGCAGCAGGCCGTGACGCCACCGTAGGGGTGACAAAGGGTGACCTGCGCCATCGCAGGTCCGATCGCCACCCCAGGGGTGACACTGGTTGGCGACTCTCAGGTAGGCTGGGCCGCCCCCCAATGGTGCACGGCGCCGATCCCCTGCACTGCCGCCGATGTCTCCGCTGTGGGGTGGCAAGAAGGACCTGTTCCACAGGATGTTTCGCCCCAGCTGCAACGCGCGACAGTTGCCACTAGTGGGCCCAGACAATTCCTGTAACATGCCGCCCCCCCGGGCGCAAATGTTTAGAAATTGTCCAGGACCGCTCCGCGTCCCCCCCAGTGCAGTGAGCCCCTGCTCGGGGCCACGCTGGCGGTCGTGGCCGGCCGGTGACCTCATAAGGCCACTTGGGGCCCAAGGTCACCGAGGGCCGGCCAGGCTTGGAGTGACCAGGACCGCTGGTATTGCTGGTGGTTTGTGTTTTGCAGGACAGAAGCGCCAGCGTCGGTGCTTGGCTGTGCCCTGACTTTTCTCACAATGGCGCAATGGGGAAGGTGTGCAGGACTACCGGCATTGCTACCGGCACTGCCTCCAGCTATCTTGGAGGTCAATACCTTTGCAAAACCGGGCGCGCAGGCCTGCCAGCTCAGTGTCCAGGAGGGCGGAATCACCGACATGTCCAATGGAAACAACACTCCCGACGGTGTCGCCAGCCTATGCGCGCATGCCTCGTGAGGCAAGGTGTGCAAGACCGCCGGCAGTTCCGCTGGGCTGTGTCCTGGAGGTCGGACCCTCCTCCGTGTCAGGATGAGAACAAAGCTGCCAGCATTGTCGTCGGGCCGTGTCCTGGAGGCACATAAAACGTGAGGAAGGGCAAGCGCACAGGACCGCCAGCATTGCCGCCAGGCCAGAACTTCCGACGCGACGATTGAAAATGTCTTCGGTTTGACAGATGGAGTTATGCTTCCTGTTTTTGAGGGCCGCAGGGTCGAGGTAGACCAGGGTCCTTACGTGAGGGTGTGCAGGACGGCCGGCCTTGCCGTCGGTGTCCGTGAGGCAGCAGCCTCGTGACGGGGGTGGGCGTGCATAATCTGTGGGTGCACGAAATCTGGCATGGCCCCCAGCCTGCATCCCAAAGGGGACGAGCCTTGGTAGCGGCTCGATGTGGGAATGTGCCAGACTGCTGGCATTTCCGCCGGGCTGTGTCTTTGAGGCATACTGCCTCGCAACTTGGGTTACATCGTTTCATGTGTGGATGCACGAAATCTGACACTGCCGCCAGCCAGTGTCCCAAAAGAACTATAGGCGTGGGAATTTGCATGACCGCCAGCCTTGCCGCCGGGCTGTGTCCTTGAGGCAACAGACTCACGATGGGTGTAGGCGCGCATAATTTGCGGATGTACGATGGCTGGCAATCGTGTTTAAAATGGCACGAATTTTGGGAGCGGTTCGACGCGAGGGCGTGCAGGACCGCTGGCTCTGCCGCCGGGCAACGTCCTTGCGGCAACAGTCTCGCGACGGTGGCAAGCGCGCAGAATCGAATAATGTTCGCAAGCCGGTATTGCCACCAGGCCGACCCTACAGGAAACGAAGTGTGAGGACCAGGGAAATCTCAGTGTGCAGGACGGCCAGCCTTGCCGCCGGGCTGTGTGTCCTCGCTCGCGACGAGGGCAAAATCGCAGAATCTGCGGACGCACGACGGCCGGCACTGCCGCCAGACAGCGTCCAATAGGAGACGAAGCTTTGTAGTGGTTCGACGTGAGAGCGTGCAGGAACGCTGGCCCTGCCGCCGGGCAGCGTCCTCGAGGCATTTGTCTGGCGACGGGGTCACGCGCGCATATTCCACGGATGCACGCAGGCTGGCGCT